CCCCAAAACCCCAAAACCCCAAAACCCCAAACTTTTATAATAGTTTTGAAATAATAAAAATGGAACTGTAAGTCAATATGGTTACCAGATTTGCACTAAATATCACCTTTCAATTCACTTGGATTGAAAGAGAAACAAGTGAATTATTATTTAGAGCCTTTCTGTTCTATGACTTAGGCTTCAAACATTCTAATTGATCGTTGAGTCAAAGTTCTCCTATTGGTCTACCTTGTATTTCATTTTCTTGAATATTTTACCAAACAAGTTGGATAAAAGGTTACTTTAGAATGAAATCGAACAAGAGAAAGCCACTTACTTTCGTTAACAAAGACCCAGAGTATCTGACTAGAGATCGAAAATTCTCTGAAGACTTCAATCACAAATAACTTGTTTGAGGAGTTTGTAGATGGCAAAGTTCATGGCCTTAATAACTCCAATGATCTCACGAGCAAACACAAGTTGCTCAGGTCAACTCTCAAGTGTTTCCTTGGATACCAGTCTGAAGATGTAGACTTGGCTTTAGATGATCTTGATAATCTCGATGACCTCAGTAATTGGAGAGAGTGCACCCTTGATCCTGAAGTCGTCCAAGAAATTATAGAAACCTGATTACATATGAAAAGTTTCAAATGCACAGAAGTGATAATCAGAGGTCTCTTGAAGAGAAAAATTGATCCAGTCGTTGGAATAAAGTCCATTAGTGAGGTCATCCAAGGATGTGAGTCTGAAGCTGTGCAGAAAATTCCTCAGGTGAAGAATCAGAATTGCAAGTCTTCATTCTCTAAAGCGAAAAGCATGGTAAGTCTAACTTATTCATTTGTGAGATATCTGATGAGTGATTTAGAAACTAAAGTTCAGAGAAACAGAAGAACATAGGAGAGATTGATCTAAAATCCTCCAACTGTTACTTGAAAGCAAGAGCTGTATCTTGAAATATGGAGACCAGCATGAAGATATTTCGGATATTTTAAGATGCTGATATACAAAAATCTGGGACTCAAGTAAGCCTGCTCTCAAATAAACATGAGAGTGAGTTATAATTTCCTCATGTTTGAGTTTTCATAATTTAAAATTTCTTAAGTGCAATTGATTTTGACCAAATGAGTATTTACAAATTGTATAGCAATCAAAAGGAACTCAGAAGAAGGGAGTAACCCTCACGAGGTTGATGAAGAATTTTGTTCATATTCAAAAATCAATGAAGAATCTATCATTGATTTAAATAATGATTTCAGCTCTCACCATGAATTTGTCAAGATTGCTCCCAAAATCAATAAGGATATGATCAATAAAATTGACACCCTTAGAATTGAGAAAATCAAGCAAATCATGGCTAACAAGTTTCAAGCCAAAGGCGTCAAAATGTTTGACCTCCACTTGCTCAACATGAAGAAGTAAGAAGTCCTGTCTATTTTAGTTCGAGCACGAAGTACCTCCACCACAAAGATGTCATCGAAATAGCCTTGATCTTCTGACTGTTTAGTGGGTATGCTTTTGTATAAGTTTTAGGAGCCAAATAGTTGACCTATGTAAACTCATATTCACATGGGACAACAGCCTTGATTCTAGACTGTCTTATTTATACCCTCTAAGTGTCTACAAATTGCTCATTTTCTATGAAGAGCTTGAAGGATTTGACCTTCTGTATCAGCAAGAAACTTCAGAAGACACCAAAGACAACATCATAGCTGAGAGTCTTTCTTACTCTCTGATCATTAACAATCCGCTGATTGCAGTGTATCTGTCCAACAACTATCCTCAGGAAGTCTTTGACAACAAGAATATCATCATCGACTCCATCCTGAACTATCTCAACGAGTTTACCGAACTCAACGGAGGCCTCAGATACAAGTAAGTGTTAGTTATCACGCACAGGAGGATCACCAACCTCGAGCAGTATCTGTTTCTGGTCGAAAGAATGATCCACTTCTTCAGTTTCGCTCAATCCAAATACTTCATTAGCATTATGGATGGCCTGATCGAAGTTGGCAAAATTGATACCTCCAAGCTGTGGGTTCCCATGAAGGACAGACATAACAGTGAAGAAGCACGGTTTGACAGATTTGAGAACAACTTCGCAACTTATTCTCTGTCTCCAGTGAAAGATTGAATCCTGGTGATGTTCATCTGTTCAAAGCTAGGAGACATCCACAATGAAACCAGGCATATCAACCAGGATGTTATCCAGAAATATTCTGGCCTTGTCAACGAGTTACTCGATGGGGTCGAAGACATGAACAAAGTGTACTCAATCCTGACTTGCAAGTGATTCAATAAAATGGAAGTCATCAACATCATTTCTCAAAGAAGCTTCCAGACAGTGTTGAACAACTCGAAAGTGGTCAGAATTGTCAACGACTTCTGGGAAGGCCCCTTCGAAACAGAGTTCTTCATGAGCAACTCTTTTGCTTACCAAAAGATAAGAATGCTCTTTACTGGGTCAAGAAGATTTCTTGGGTATCGCCCAGAGAATAATTATGAATTCAGCATAGAAAATTTGTGGAAAAAAAGTCCAAAGAAGAGAGCCATAAAGAAATAGCCACTTTAAGAAGGCTCACTTTTTTCACTTTGAGAGGTGGAATGAGTCACTGTTCACAAAATATTTCATCGAATGCCTCTTTGTTACCCTGGTATGAGGTTTCACATATTGGATAGTTTCTGATTCGCTTGTCTACTCTAAGAATCTGTACAGTCACTATGCTTCCATCGAATCTTTGGAAGCTCAACTTTCAAGCCCCACCTTAACAGTAACACAAAGAGCAAGTCTGGAAGCAGATCTTCTTCAGAAATAAGGATGAATATGAAGTGTTTTCAAAAGAAATAATGTCTTTAATGATTCTCTGGGTGAGAGTAATCTTTTCCATCACAATTTAGGTGAATACTAGTTTTCTGTTGTACCTCTTTAAGAATATAATGGAAATTATCTGAGTAAAACTTAGAAGCATGGATGCCTCTTTCTTGCTCCCAGACCTAGTTATGAGCTTGACCAATTCTTTAATGATAGCAAGAGCAGCCATAATCTTAAATTACTTTAGTCTTCAAAGATATGACAAAAGCGACAAGTATTACTACACCAAGACTTTCCAGTATCTGAACGACAACTATGTTGGTTTTGGACTTGAAGAAACCTTTGTGGTAGTCCTAATTATCCAATGAATCAGAGTTTTAGCAATCCTAAGAGCATCTAAAACCTTAGGCCCAATGATCGAAATAGTATGTCATATGCTTTGGGAGGTGATGGTTTTTATTGTTATCGAATTTTGAGTAATAACTCTATTCGCTGGTGCTTTTAGAATTCTCTTTTCAGAAATTGAAGAATTTACAGATGATACACAGGCAATACTCACTCTTATATCAGCCTCAATGTCAAACTTTGAATTTGATATATTCAACGATGAGGAAATTAGAGTGAGCAAATACTATGGATATGTATTGATGCTTGCATTTATACTAATATCTGGAGTGACTTTGCTCAATTTTTTGATTGCAGTGATAACTCATGTATATGAAAGACTTAGTAAGATTGCACAAGGGTTATATCTCCAGAACCTCATCGAGATTAGACAGGTCCTTGTCAATGATAACAAGTTCTCTTGTCTCGTTTCAACAGTCCCTCCCTTCAACATTGTTTCAGTATTGCTATCACCTATTATAATTTACTTTGAAAGTGCCAATCTCAACAAAGTCATACTTTACTTTGAGTTCAGCTTGGTGGTGCTCCTCGCCATCATATTCTATGCAATGTTTGCAATTATCTCGATTCCATTGGCTTTCATTGTGACTTTGATGCAGCTTCTCAGAGACTTCTGTGAGATGAGCAGAAGAAACCGCTCCAAACTAGTCGTTCTCATAGACTTTGCAATTTTCTGTGTGTTCGGAATATTTATTCTGACAGTCAGGACTCTGTTTGACATGGTGGAGTTTGTCACAGATCTCTTTACCAAAAACTTGGTGCGCAAAAATCAGGCTGGCACTACAAAGAAAGGAGTCCCAGTTACTGATGAAGCCATGGACTCTAACTTTTACAGATTCTTCATTGCTTTCTTGGAAAACTACCAGGTAAATGACATTGCTTCCAATGTGTTGATCTCCGACCTCAGAGAAACTCTCGAGATAAGTCACCAAATAAAACAGATTATATTCTTCGGACATGATGTTGAAACAATGAATCCAAGAATCAAGTAATATTCCAACTTAATTTGATAGGACATTCAAGAACACAGAGAATCCGAAAGAAGCTTTGTTTAAAGATAGTGATGATTGATTGAACATACTAAAACAAGAAATATTGGCTTCTTACTCTCCAAAGCATATTCTCGCTCAGTACAACATCATTAAGAGAGTGATCAACAAGTGATCGATTCCTAATAAACTCAAGGTAAGAAAGATGTCAATGTTGTAGAGCAACTTTAGTCAAACCATCTCCAATTTTAAAGCTCAGGAAGGTAAGCTAGTAGTCACAAAGAGCTATATTATGTGTATCAGACAAAGATTCAAAGCAGCAGTTGCTGACATTACCTATAGTGACTGACTTGATGAAAGAAAAGATCTTCTACATTAAAGAGTTTCTCTCAATGATGAGAGAGATTCAAGAAAAATCCATTTTCTCACAAATGATTTACAGTAAGTTCATCTTACTACTCTACAGCCAACATCTTCGAAGACCAATTGATCCAAAGACTGACAAAATCAGGTTCAAAACAGCACTCATCTTTGCTAAAATCATCAAAATCAACAAGTACTATTACCATAACCCATAGACCTGCTCCTTCTTCACAAGAAGCACTTGGGTCTGACTCCTGACAAAGAGACCCTGTCATCCCTACTAGTATCCTCCAACTATGCTTGCATCTCTAAGTTCCATTCCTAGTCTTCTTTCTTCTCTTAAATATTCTTTACTAACATTTGCATAGCTTTAAAACTTTAAATTGTCGTTTCACTTACTGATTAAACCAATATTTTCATCATTAAGAGGGGTTTTGGGGTTTTGGGGTTTTGGGG